TATCAAATATGTTTAGAAATACACAGAGCAGTATAATGCTTACAAAACTTATTTCTACACCTGTACTTAAGTCCAGCACAAAGGTATTAACACCGTGGGTCTAATTTTTTTTAATCTTTTTATATCTCCTAAAGTGACAATAATGCTTATTTTAATGGCTCCCTGGGGTTAAATTAACCTTAAGGGGCCATCTCCTTCCCACGCAGGCTGCCTGGTTCCTGTCATCCCAGCTGCTCCATCTGCGCTCACTCTGTCGGCCGAGCACATTCTTGGAGGCAGGGAGGTCGGAGCTTCAGTTCCCCCTTTGCTGGGATTTTACAAGGCCTCAGCCAAACACCAAATTTCAGTTTCTTGTAAGTCAGTGTCCTTCCTTAAAATGAAGTATTTGAGTTTTCCTCTGACTGGGTTGTATAGCCCAGAGTCCTGTCATGTAACGTGGCTCTAAGCCTTTTAGTTTAATGTTTAGGCCTTTAGGGCGGTCTGTGTAACCACTGTGCTCGTTGGCTCAGAGCCTGGAATAAGCTGGAATAAAAATTTTCACGCAGCAGTCACAGATGGGTCCTCAGACAGCACATCCTGAAACGTGACTGAAGTTCTCTTGTGCCTTTTTAAAGCTCATCTTGTTTGTCTCATCTGAACTTCTTAACGGTCATGACTTTTTACAAATAAGATATTTCAATTAGCTGATGGTCCTTTTCTTATTGGTGCCAAATCGTCATAACTGGGCTAGTGGGGTCCTTTTTAAATTATTTTGTCTTAAGATGTTGATCTCAAACATCCTCCCTTTACAGCAACAACAAGGTCTTGTAAATCCATCTTGAATTTTTTTTTCTGAGTCCAAAGACACCAAGTGTCAGTCCCTTTCTTTTAATATAGAAGAGTTACAAAGCACAAAACTGAGTCCTCAAGGAGCGTGCGAGTCTTGGCACCGTTGTGGCAAAGGTAGACAGGTGTTTCCTTCCAGATCCCTGATCCACCGCCCGTGAAGTTTTTATCTGCCCGACTTTCCTCAAACACAGCTGCACTTGGAGCCATCCATCTGGGCTGCAGCTGTCCTGCCCCCTCTTTCCTGAACTTCTGGGTCTGGCCCATGTTTGTCAGCCACGCTGTCCACGTGGGTCGGTCTGGACCCGCTGCTTTCCCCCCCGAGATACCCCTTGGCCAGTACTGTCCTTTGTGTTGGGCCCCAGTGTCTTCTCACTTCGTGGTTTACTCCCCTCCTTGATGAAGCCAATCGTCCGATAGCTTTTTAAGACAGCACACATACGTTTCGTTTTCTTGCGTGTCTGAAAATGTCCCTATTCCACCCTTCCACGTGACTGCCCGCTTAGCAGAGTCTGGAATGGGCCGCACGTCATTCTACCTCTGAGTCTTTGAGGCCCTGCTTCTTGCCCCTCAGCCTTTGGCTCTGCTGTTGGGAAGTCTGATGGCATTCTGACCCCAGATCAAGCCCTCCGCCCCTCCGCCCTACTCTTTGGAAACTTATGAAATCTGATCCTTATCCCCGATACTCTGAATGTCACAGTCATGTGCCCTTCAGATGGGCCTGGTTTATTCATTTTGCTGTGTACCTGGTGGGGCCCTTTCAATCTAACAAATCAAGAAAATTTCCCTTCCTCTGGGAATTTTTAAGATACTTGTCTGTTTCCTCCAGACTGACTTCTCTTTTTCTGTGCCGCCTGTTCACACGTGTGGCTCACACAGAAACTGACACTGCCCGGCCCTCTGGGACGCACGGCTGTCTCACGTTCTTCCTTCACTTGCATTTTCCATCACAGTGACTTTCTGTCCCATCTTCTGGGACACATTAATGACTTTCTCCTCCAAACTTAACCAATTTTCTCCAATCTCAGCCATTGTATTTTTAGTTTCTGCAGACTGTGTTCTCTGCTGTTCCTTCCGTAGGTCCGTCTTCCACTCCAGTTCCCTGGATAACACCAGTCAGTCTACTGCATCGTCTCCTGCTTCCTGCATTCCTTCCTTTCCTGGGGTCTTTTCTTCCTCGTGGCCAGTGCCTACTTTACTCCACAGGCACCCAGCCCCCTCCTCTGTCTGGTCACTTCCCTCCTCCCAAACCTCTGACGTCTCTTGTCCACTGCTTGCCTCCAGTCTCGTTTCTCTGTCCTTGTGTTTCCAGTGCTTCACAAGGCCCTTCACTGTCATTTTAGCAGAGTTTTATGAGAGGAGGAAGCGAAACACATGTGGCCACGAATCTACAAACTTTTTATGAGCAGAATAAAACAGTATTTTCATGTTTAAAAGTCATTTCTCCACCTATTCCCAGTTCCTCTGTTGTGAAATGAATGTCCAAGCATTGGGTACCATTTATTAAAATCCTCCTTGTTTGTCCTGAAACGTGAATTTGAAAATAACCTGCACTGTTACATAATCATAAAGTGACTTTCGTTACCACTTTGCAATAAAATGAAAATCCTCAATAATCAATCATAAGATTAAAGAGATCTTTATCCTAAAAAAGAAAGAAAAATAGACCCAAATTTAAACATTGGTTCATCGCTTACTAAAATATTCCAGATATCAAAGAAAATTACAAACAACCTAGTGAGTTTTTTTTCCTTAATTGAAGTATAGTTGATTTACAATATTGTGTTAGTTTCTGGTGTGCAGCATAGTGATTCAGTTTTACATGTAGATATTCTTGTTCGTTATAGGTTATTATGAGATATCGAATGTATTTCCCTTGCTGTACAGAAGAACTTTATTGTTTTATCTATTTTATATGTAAGTAGTTAGTATCTGCTAATCCCAAACTCCTGATTTATCCCTCCCTTCCCCTTTCGATAACCACAAGTTTGTTTTCTGTGTCCGTGTCTGTTTCTGCCTCGTAAATAAGTTCATTTGTATCATATTTTAGATTACACATATAACTGATACCATATATTGGTCCTTCTCTGACTTAGTATGATAATCTCTAGGTCCATGACATTGCTACAAATGGCATTATTTCATTCTTTTTTATGCCAGTGCGATTTCTATATTGAAGAATATCTCTTTTCCATTCAATGCTCTGCGATTTCTATATTGAAGAATATTTCTTTTCCATTCAATGCTCACACCAGTGATAAGGACGCACATTTCAGAGATCACATTGCAAACTCAACACCTAACAATGGCTTTCCAAGTTCCTACTTTTTAAGCTTCTATAGGTAACACAAGCAAAAGCATCCTTCATACAAACACATGCACACACACATGCAAAATTCATTATATATTTAAAAATTATTTACTGCTTCAATGAAATTGTACCTTTTGAAAATATATATAGTCATGAACATAAAAACCAGTATCAAGGTTTTGTTAATGAAAAATACACACGTGTGTGTGCATGTGCGCATATACATAACCAGGTCTAACAAATCTATCTTTGGCACCATTTTTTCCCCTGTAGCACCATCGGTAACTTTCAGCAGTTAATGTGCATAATTGATTTCATTCAACTGATCAAGTCTTAGTTATTTTTCAGGTGTCACTAATTATGCTTCTTGCCTTTTTGGATTAAGAATGTACTTATTTCCTACATGAGTTAACTGTTAAAAGATTGGTTTAATGGAGACTTGGTCTCCTGCTTTGTCAGGTTCCATTCACTCTAATTTCACTTACTGGTTGGAGTTAACGGCAGTGATCTGAATTGTAATAAACTGCCTTGTATTCGAATTGGCATCGTACAGTTAAATACTTAGTTTACATGGCCAAGTGTGACAAACTGTGACCTTTCCCTGGGGTGGCATAAACTGGGGACACAATTAGTCACGAGTGGTAGGGAATCCTGAGACCTGCCCCAGAATACTGACAACCTCAGCTCTTCCTGTTACTCACACCCCGCGACGCAGGCAGTAGGACCCATATCGATCCAAAGGTTACTCTGCCCAGGCTGCCTCCCCACATCAGCCCTCCAACCACACCCGGGAGGAAACAGAACTGGGCTGAGAAGCAAACGTGCCAACACTGACCCAGCTCCCCACAACCCGGAGCAGTCCTGTGGGCGTGCGAATTAATTTTCCAGACTCTTTCCCCCAAACTGAGCTTTATGAGGGAAGAAAAGCGAAGAAAGTAACAAGTGCCAATTTCATCTAGTAGCAAACCCCAAGTATCATTAAACGCTCCCCCACGTCCTCAGCCCCAAAGACACCAAACCTTGTTTTGCCTGCAGCGAGTTTAGCAAAACAAAAACAAACAAAAAAAACCAGTCGTAACCAGATCTGGACGGTCCTCACGGTTATCTTCGCGGGCCTGGAACGTTCCCAAGCGCAGGCCACACCCGCTGTGCCGTAAAGAGGGCTGGGCTGCAGGGTCCGCCAGGCACTGACCCGGCCTTC